GGAAAGCAGGCTCCCAGGTCGGGGACTTGAACTGTGGCTGGCCATGTGGGAGTGCCTAGTGCCTTAACCACCACCACCACGCTGCCTGTTGGTCCCAAGATCCCTTTAAATATAATAGCCCCTGTGGTTTCAGAGAAGGATGAGCAAGGTTTGAGAAGTGAGTTAAATAAGTGGTACTTTCTCTGTGGGAAAATGTGAGCAAATTAGTTTACCTGGATTATACAATATTTGATAGAATTTATGGACCAGGGGAGTGGAGGGCCAGAGTTACAGAACACTTGGAGATGACACTGAAAATGTTAGTCAAGGGGGCTGGTGGGTGGTATGGTGGTTAGGGCACTGAACTACCACGTGGCTGACCATGGTTTGCGTCCCAGACCTGGTGGCTTGCTTTCTTGCTTACTCTCGCTCTCTCTGTCTCTTTCTGGCCAAATTAAAACATGACAATAATAAATAAAATAATTATTTTTCTGAGAGAGAGATTTTTGGTATAATATGCATGTGCTCGCTGGAGAGACAGAGACAGTGAGACAGAAAGTGAGAAGTCACCCTCTGGGGGGATGGTCATGTGCGATTCCTTTTCCTCTATTATCTCGGGATTTCTGGCGAACATGGACATACATTGGTGTGGGTTTCAAGTCACCAGGTCTGGGACTCGAACTATGGTCGGCCATTAGGGAGTCCAGCACCTTAACCACTATAACACTTGCTGGCCCCTAAAAAAAAGTCTTTAAAAAAAAAAAGTCAAGAAAATATGAGTGGAGTTAGTCTGTGGCAAGACTGTACAACAAACATACTAAAGTTAAAAGTTTCTTTCAGCAATACTAAATTTATAAATAAGTCTTATTGTAAAAATGACAATTTAGTTATTTTTTTTCCCTTTTTTTGGAGAGGTTTTTGCTATAGGGTGCGTGCGTTCGCCAGACAAATAGAGACAGAGACAGAAAGCGAGAAATCACCCCCCAGGGGGGATGGTCATGCCACAATCCCTTCTCCTCCATTCTCCTCTCAGGATCTTGGGCAAACACGCACACGCGCCCGGCGTGAGTTTTAAGCCACTGGGTCTGGGACGTGAACCGCAGTCGACTACGCGGGAGTCCAGCGACATAGCCATTACCCTAACTGCTGGTCCCGACATTTTAGTTATTTTTAAATGTACAGCTCAGTGTCATTAAGAACATTCACAATGTTGTACAACTATCAACACCGCCCATCTTCTAGAGAAGTCTTTCACCATCCCAACTGAAACCCTATATCCCCTGAAAACTAAGTCTCCACCTCCCTAGCTCCCACTTCCCACCCTACTGGGATCCACCTACCTTTCCATCAATACTTACTGTTTTTAGGAGTATGGCCACTGTATCTAATGTAAGTGGGATTATGTTTCCTTTTATGTCTTGCTTATTTCACTCAGCTAGTATAAATCACTTTAATCATGCCATTTATTCAGTAGCTGGATTCTAATTTACATCCTACTCTATGTGCTGTATTTGAAAACAAATGTCTATCTAAGTACTTGATAATCTTCCCACTGAATGCTTAGGAACGCTTCACTCTCACAATTTATAAACTCAGATTTCATAAGGATAATTTAATCTGCCACTGTGTCTCTGATAAAGGGCTTTTATTGGTCTACTTATTGTATTTTTCGATTATTTTCACTGGAGAATACTGTTCATGGACCCTAGACTCTACAAATTTCCACCTGGCAGTACCTTTAATGCTAGCACATAAGGGTAACTAGAACTCCGGGAGGAATCCCAATTTATGTGACTTCCTAGGAGAAATTAATTTATTTGGAAGGCTCTTTCGCTACTATGTAATTAGCTATGAGATATAGGGTTGAATCTGCTTTAAGAATCTGTTTTAAGAAAATACGCTTATTTTTAGCTGCAGAAAAGTTCCAAAGGTTCAGATAGTTGGAAACTATATGAGTCGTCAAGTTTATTTCCCCTTTCTCTGGGCTCTGTCAACAGGTCGAAAAATTTTGGGTAAGAGCCTAACGGAGGTCCCAGTAGGTTCGATTCAACAGTCTATGTTTGCCAATCTTGTCACAACAGGAACAGAATATGGTATCGGAAAGGCACTGAGATAAACTGAGTAGGCAGCACAGTGCAGGTCACCCGCAACCCACCAGCCGCCCTGAGTCTGGCGGTGTGGACGCTCAAGCTCTCCAGCCCACAGGTTCGTTCCAGCTGACACGCCACGGCCATCTTACTGAGAATAAGCTGGGGCCCCACTGTTTCTGAAGTTAGCAGTCTTTCCCGCCTTGTTTAAAAAAAAAAAAGTCTTTATTCATTAAGAGAACCAAGAAGAAAAAAGGCAGAAAGGCCATACGCTACGCAAATACGCAAAACCCAAGCCATCGCACTTGCCCGGCGCGCTCTCCGCCGAGCTTACGTCTCTTCCCAGCAGGCTCCGGGAGTCACCGCGAGACCTCATCAATTCTCGCGAGATTTATCGGCAGCCATCTTCTTGGGGGTGCTAGGGCCCGCGAAGACCCCCCGAATCGTTCCCATTGAGCTGCCCTTCGTCTTCGCTTCCTTTTTTTTTTTTTTTTGTCTTTTTTTCGTTTCCCCACAAACCCCACTC